CATCGTCTAAGTTACCCTCGCTGCAGAGAATTTGGAGCCGCTCACGCACCAGGAGCTCGTCAAGGCCGTTTGCGCCCAATTCTGGACGCGCTGGGGCCGTGAGTATCTAAATACTCTCCAACAGAGGCCGAAATGGTGCGCTGTCTGTCGAAACTTCGCGGTGGCGGACCTGGTGGTTCCTCTTGACCCTACCCTGCTACAGTCCATCGGACGCTGGCCTCTGGGCCGTATTACCCGCACACACCCTGGATCCGATGGACTAGTCCGTGCTGCTGCCGTCAAGATGGCCACCGGCGAATACGTGCGGCCCATTGTCAAGCTTGCGCGTCCCCCTGTGGCACCTGCGGACTCTAGCCTTCCTGCGACAGACGATCGAGAGACTCCCCCGGCTTCGGCGGGCGGTGACTAGGGTTTCGCTCTTGGATCAAGGTGGGCGGGATGTTCGGGTTTTCTCACCGACCGAGCGGGGTTCCGCGCCCTGCCATGCAACGTCGGTTGCTGCGCTCTCTTCCGGCTCCTCACCTCGTGCGTCACCGCGCTCGGCTGGTGGGACTCACTCGTGTACAAGGGCTCAGTGAGGACAGTCGCATGCCACACCAGAGAACGAGACGAAGAAGACGACGACTACACGCCGAAGCGACTATCCCTTGTGCCTTTTCTTTGTGTAAAGTGTTGTGCAGCATTTGTAAGCCCATACGAACCAATAAAGCAGTAAAAACAAACAACTATTTTTATAACAACACGAATAAACGTGTCAGAATTCTCATGTTTGCACAAAAAAAAACAAAAAAAAAACGAGAAATACAGAAATTTGACTTCAATACTGATAATAATTCTGAGAAAAATACTTAGCTGAATAGAAAAATGTACTTAAAACTATACCTCATAGTATGTGATTAGATTTTTGAGAAACAATGAAACGTAGGCTTTCGTAATTTAAATATATTACTTCTAGCTTACGAATAGAAAAAAAACTTTTTCAAAAATTGAAACGAAATTTTAGCTCAAGCTCCAGATAATAACGTGGAACTAACTTGGTTGTATTCTTACAGTTCAACTATTTTGAAAGAAATGCATAATATGCTTGAGAGTACCAACTTTCTAATTGTAAACGTCTGTAGCATGTATAAATGTTGATACATCATAGACACATAAATTATGATCTTAAGTGTAACGTCACCGGTTTCAATCGACAAAAGTTGGTGAGATTTTTTAAAAGTTACAATTTTCCTTGCATCATGTCATTCTGATCATTTCGATGAATTATGTGCTAATTTTTAGATCTCGAAACATAATCATCATAAAAACTTGTCGAAATGGTTTTTTGGAAATCTACTGCAAGGTAAGAAAAAAAAAGCGAATCAGCAGTGGATGCGGCAGGCTGTTTGTTTACGTTAATCTCAATTACAATCTAATTCATCATCCTGTTCTTACTTTTTGAGGTCCTAAACTATTTAAGATTAAACCTTCCAGTTTTAGTTTTGTTTTTGGACCATATCCATTGATTGGTCCATTTTTTGGTCAACAACTTTAAAACTTACGTATCTTTTATGAAAGATATATTAAAAACTTTTGAACAACATTGTCAAGGAACTTTTTTATGAATTGTTGCCTAAATTTAGTAGAATTTTTTAATCTCAAAAACAAATTCTTTGCTTTGTTTACTCATAGAAAGTAGTAGTGACAGCACTTATTGAATTATTCGAGTACAGAGAAAGAAAGAGTCGTCCTTACAACGAATTTCCATTGTCGTAGCAAGACAAGACTCTTCTATTATATTACGTACCTTTCATGCGCGTATAAAGATTCAGAAACTCCCGAATAGTGGGTATATGTCAAAATCTATCAATAATCATAAGATAATGAAACGTACAAATCTTAGTCTTATCACTTCTAACATTTTGTATGTTAGAATAAATATGCTAGGA